ATTATGTTGCCTTCGCTGAGTTTATTATGACTTGTTGATTAATTAAAAGCTAAAGTTAGCATAGGTGAAGAAGAAACACCATGTTGATCCTCAGCAGGATTAGAAATGGGTTTGGATTTTGACATTTTCTGCCAAAATTCATGAGCAAAATAATGTCACATGCCCAACAATCTCTGGAGCCATCCCTGTTGCAGCACATCGGTGATCTTGGTGATGCTATTGGTAGAGTGAGTAATTGCTATGGAGACTGAGCCGTTGTTCATCTCTTGAGGTGATCCTCCTGGCCCTGGCCTGTCAGAGAAGACAAACAGGGAAGAATTTTGCTGGTTTTGGCCGCTCTGTACCTGACTGGTAAAAACTGGAGGTCTGTGCTGTCCAGAGTTGTCAGACCAGCGCTGCTCACCTGTCCCAGCATGAGCAGCCCTCAAACATGGCTCCTCCCGGGTTCCTCTTTGCTTTTGCAGAAAGTTAATTTCCCTGAGTAATCAGGGAATTAAGACTTCCATTCTGATACAGAGCCCAAGGACCATTTTCCTCAGTTTTCTGCAGGTGAGATGGCATCTTTACCCATTTGATAACTAACTAAAGCAAATTTTCCCTTCACCTGTTTGTGACCCAAAGTGACTGAGTCGCATGCAAAAGCCCCTTTTTGGAGACACTCCTGCAGTGTCAAGGTAAATGCCCTGGTTCACTAAGCATCTGCAGGCTGTCTGCATAGTATCATTTATTATTATTATTATTATTATTATTATTATTATTATTGGTTATTTCATTGCATTTTCTTGATATCATCTACCAGACACAGATTAGGTCTGATTGGTCTCAGAATCCCCTTGACTGTAATTTACTCCATATTCCCTGTTCCTACAAGGAAGATGTAACATTTTTATGGGTTTAGCTTTTTAGGCTTTTTATGGGAAGAGAGAACCATGATGCAGGCAGTAGCTGATGACACCCAGCTTGTCATGGATTTACATATCTATCCTGTTTTCTGTTTTTAGCAAAGAAGCAGAGACCACAACTCAGAATTTGTTGGGTTTTGGATGTAGCATTGAGTTGGGATGCAGTTTGGGTCTCTGTTACGGTATGGATTTATCTTCAGTATTGCTGTTTCATAGTTGAAATATTCCAAAATCCTCAAAGCTACAATGTTCCTGCAGGTGTGTCTGTGTGAGCCCCCCTTGTGGGGGCCTTTTATCCTCTCCATCCAGCTGCAGCTGGACAAATTCTTGCAAAACTGGGTTACCTGTTTCCCACAGAGGTTTTTGGCATGAAAGATCTGTTTGCTGTTCCCTGTGCAGGATAAAAACCCCAAGTTTAGTCACAGTATGTTGCTGGCTGCAGATAAACACAAAATTATGTGGGACACTTTGTGGGGCTGGCTTTTTGCTACTGTGAACTCCTTAATGTCTTTCCTTTGAGCTTATTCCCCTTTTTCCCCTGCCCCAGTGCTTGCTCCTCACCTTCTCCAGCAGCAAATTGACCCAATTTTTGTTGTTTGCATTGCAAGCTGCAAACCAGGACTCCCATGGCTGGCAGGAAGCCAGCAAAAGATTAAAAAAATACTTGAGTTCACATTTAGAGCATGTTTGAAAGTTGTTTTTGTTACCATAAAGAGTCAAAACATTTGGTGTGGTTTTGTCAGTAACGTCATGGATCTGCATGGAATGATGCATCCACCTGCACTGAGCTTTTTATTGCTCATTTCGTGCAACAATTTCTTGGCTTTTTCTGAAATGAATGCAGTGAAATTGTTGAAAAACTTGAAAAAAACCTGTCAATATTATTTTTCTTTATAAATTTACATTAAAAGTGGCAGCCACTAACAGCTTTCTCGAGGGAAATACTACAGGTTCAGACCCATTTCCTGTGAGTAATTGAGTATATACTAGAAGTAAGATGCTAAGCTCAGGCATAGCACATGCGTAGCCCATAAAAATTGACAGAAGTTTTGTTAGTTCAAAGTTAAGCTGCTCAAGGTTAATAAGTCCATCTCCAGAGGTGGAAAATATTTCCATAACTCTGATTATGTTCCTTTACTGCCGAAAGGCAAAAGTAACAACTGCCAAGGCCTTTGTAACTAGACCTTTATCCATTAAAAGCTCTATATAATCACTTTGCAAAATTTTCTGGACTAATTCAATAGGAAGTGGTTTTTTCTTCAAAACTAAATCTACTTTGTCTAGGTGTGTATGGTCAGTCTTCACGAATGAAGATTTGGGAAAGGTCTTTACCCTTCGAACCTGCGCAGTGGATTTTTTAGGTGAGACACAGTGTGCGCTGAGCTGAGCCCACCCTTTAATCCTAAGGTTCATCTGCTGGGGCTGAGCGAGCTTGGACAGTGGCAGTGAGGTCCTCAGGACGTAGGTTTGTTTAGAGTGACCTTCTCTTAGATGGATGGCCTTACAGGGCTGACGAGCTCCATCTGCCCAGGGGAGTTTCCCTGACCAGGAATGGAACCCGGACCACAGCGGTGAGAGTGCTGCATCCTAACCACTAGACCACCAGGGGTCCCCTTTGTTTAAGTATAAGACTATTAAAAAAAAAGAATTAGAAAATAATGCTTACAATTGTAGCTTTTGGGATTAAACAGAGGCAGATCTGGACATTTGGCCACACATTCATTGAAACAGGATTTAAATTTCCATCATAAATTATTATCGTATATACAACAATTTTCACAGTGTATTTTTACTAGAAAGCAGTATGGAGATAAGCAGCAACTCCTTCCCTTGTTTCTTTGCAAGAGTAGTTCATACAGTCCTGCTCCATTGTTGACTGATGCACGTTTTAAGGAGAGAGAGAAGAGTTTTGTAAGTAAAGCTCATACTTTTTCAGAAGAATTGACTTGTAGCTCTCAACTTTTGATCGAAAGAATATTAATTTGAAGGTGTAGGATTATATCAAGAAGCTTGTTTCAGTTTCATTAATGACAACTTTCTTGCAACAGTTGTGTTTATTTGCCTTTTTCTATTAATAGGCTTCTATGTTGTTCAGGTAGCAATCTCCAAGCACATAGCTGCTGTGCTGCTTCTTCCACAGTAAAAATCTGACTGTCATCTTTTTTTCCCACTGCTTCTTTCAGCTGCTCTTTGTGTGGCCGAAACATAATATGCTGAGTTATGAAGAGATCAGAAGTAGCAAAGGTCTGTCCTTCAATTTCAAATTCTGTGGTCACAAATTGGTAGACCAAATCAGGAAAATAACTGGTGCAGTATATAGAGATTTCTTACCTATTCTTCAGTTTCATAAAGTTTGTCAAAGTAGAATAATTATATCCTATGTACTAAGTATTTAACTGAAGTTGGTCTATGCACAGTTACTGAATAGGGGAGCTTAGCAATTGCAACAGCAGAAAGCTCTTCTGGCAATTCTCACTCTGCAACAGAGAAAGATTTAGAAGCAACTGCTGCTGAATAATGTATGTCTCAATTAAGGAAATGAAAACATGCTAATAAATAAAAAAAACAATTTGGTGAATAAAATGTGGATCAAATTAAGTATGGTGAATAAATACAAGTTTAGCAGTTTTTTTCTTTTTATTCAAACAAGAAGTCAGCTTTTAGCTTCTTTATGATACTCACTATTGTGTTTTGTGTTTAGAACATTTGCTTGAATATGGTGAGAATGGTGTTGGTTTTATCCTGATTTTTTTCAATGTATTTTTTCTACATGCATCTCTTCTGAGTCTTTTGCAAATAAACCTCAAGGGAGTTCAAGTGTTCATCTTCAGACACTTAAAGGAACACCATGAGCAGATGTTGTAGCAGGGTATTAAATACACCTTTGTTCACAACACAGACATCTCCACTCCATTGACATCTGTGTGGTTTTGGTGTTGTGGCAACTCCTGTCCTGCTGGGCAGACTTAACTGGAGCCTAGAAGACTGTCTCTACCCCAAGGTGGTATGTTGTTAAGGCTTTAGACAGTTTTCTGGATAGACAGGACAAATGGACTTGAATCCACTCAGTTCTGAACCCAGTGAAGCTGACAGTAGTCACATACAGGAAGACAGGGGACACAAGGCAGGATTCAGTCAGTATCTGTCTGTATTTGCAAAGTAGAAGGTAACTTTATATGTTTAGGTCATTGTAGCATTAGTCCTTCTTCTCTAATAGCAGAATTCCAAGTCCCACAGCTCTGCACTTTGGAAAAAGGAAGAAAGAGTAGGCCCAAACCATAATCAGAACTACTAGGGCAAAAGAGATGCAGGAACTCTTCTGAAAGATGGCACAAATCCTTGTTGCAGGAAGTCAGGCCAACACCAAAATGCTAGTTTGACCTGCATTTAAAACCAACAGTAACAACCATAATTAAGAAAGAAAACAAAGAGACAAAGATGGGATATCTAAGAGCTAAAGCGCTAAAGTTGGCTCTAGAGTTGGCAACTATGTGACTTAAAGAATATCTGATTCCATTCCAAAAGTGTACAAATCCCTCCTTGCCCAAAATGTGGCATTTATCTTGAGAATTTCTAAGGGAAATAGAGTTTGGTATCAACAAAATAGTTCTCATGTATTAGCAGTTTGGCCTTTTGGATTCAACAGTATTCAAAGTACTGATACATGGGTTATGCATTCTATATACTGTATTTCTTGCAATGAAATTTTAACATGCAAATGTAGACAATAAGACTTCTGCTTCAATTCCAGCAAAATGCATTTTAGAAGATCACAAAACTTTAAACATGTGTGCGTGTTTCTGCAGAACAGCTGGTTTCCCAGGAAGAGGATCCAAAACCTTTCTGCACGTGGATTTGTGTGCTCCAACTGTTTGTTAGTCATTCACTGCTACACTACATGAAGTGCTGCATGGACACCACTTCTGCAGACTCTCCATACTGCAGACTCAAAGGGAATATTTGACATAGATATAGTGGTGATCCTCTAACTTGGCACTAAAACAAAAGCTATGGTCTCTACATACTTCTCCTGGCCCAGGACCCTGCATATAGATGGGAGACTGAAAATGGAAGATGGGCAAGAGTTTGTGGGCTGCAGAAAAAGGAGGAAATAAAATAAAAGAGTGGACCATGACTGACCTTAAGCAAGGAGAAAGCAGAGAAAGCTGCATAGACAGCAGACGTTGTAAGGTATCTAAATATTCTGAAATAAGAGCTGTCTGTTTTGTGTGTACTGAAAAAGGCAGGGACTGGCTGTTGTAACACAGTATGTTCCAAAACGGCCAACCTTCACCTCCAGGTACAACCTGTTAGGATGGAGGTGGAGGAATCACTACACATTTGCAGCTACAGTACAAAGAGTGTCCTCTCCCAGCAAGAGGAAGTGCCACTACTCATCCCAAAGGAGTAGATAATTTGCATAGCAAAATTCAAATTACTTAGGTCTGGCTGAGAAGTCATGGGTCAACTCTAGGATGAAAAGAATGGCAAGGTCAGAGGGAGGAAAAGGTAGAGGCAAGAACAAAGGAGTATGTGGAATTCTGTCCAAATATATGCAAGGCCATGTGGAACCCAACTCTGGCATTTTCTGAATCACAGATGCTTGACAACTTAGATTACTTTTTTTTTTTTTTTAAGTGATCTGTAAACATAAACAGGTCATGTTCATTCACTTTCAATTTTACCATCATATGTTTAATCAATAAAACATGTTAGAAGGATGAACATAAGGAAACAACAAAAAAATCATTTAAATGCACTCTGGAACCTGCAAGCTTTGCTTGGTACTCAGCCCACTAATTTTTTGTTTTGTTTTCTTTTGGGTTTCTTTTTTTGTAAATTAGGTTAGCAGTTGCTTGCATATTCTTATTGTGGATAAACAGAAAGCTTGACAAACCAGCACTGCTTAAAGGAAGAAATTTTCCTTACCCTCAGATGATGAAGTCCAGTATTATTTCAAATAAATTGTCCTTGTTATCTTAATAATGATCTTTAATACTGCAATGACACGTTAACTGCTGCTGCAACATTCACTTTCAGTGCTGTTTGATCAAGTTTTCATGAACTGGTAAATTGCATTTAATGGCAGAGTAGTGGGTATTAACCTGAGCTTCTTTTTTTTTTCTTATTTGTTGATTACCTAGAAGCTAACCAGGTCTCTAGTTTTACAGGTGAGAAGCTAAGTAGACTATGACAGTTCTTTACCATTCATCCCCCATTATAGTACTCTTCAGATGTGTGTTTTGTGGCCCTACTTCTGTATCCTGACATCCTGTTAACCCCTTAACCTATGCTCCAACACAGCATATGTGAAGTCTGGGATTCTGTTTACTCTGTCACTCTAATACTTTTCTCACACTGGAGCTTGACAAATAAACGTGATTCTTCCTGACACTGGTTGCAAGTCTGTAGCAGAACACATAGTCCTGACAGAAGAAGGCAGTGTTGTACACAGATGAACTTCTAGTTACTGAGCAACCAGCCTTGTCCCTTTTCCACATTTTTTAAACTGACATTAGATTCTTTTTTTTTTTAATGTGTGTTTTCAACACTCTTCTTTTTTCAGCATTACCACTGTCCTAGACTTTCTTTAAAGCACCTGAAAGCAGTGGGGTACATTCTGCCAGCCAAGAAGTTGATTCCATGAAGGGAGTGGCTTGAGGCACTTACCAGCTAACGTGACAAGCATGGCTGTGCAGCACCGTCCTGGTCTACCATTCTAAAATACACATTGCAAGAGCACCAGGAGACTCCTCAGAGGCTGCTTTATATTTCTGGGGTGGGATCCTCTCCTATCAGCCAACCACTTGGTTTGCTACCTCCTTGGTATGGAATTTTACTCCTCACCAGCACAATATATTAGACAAATTGTGTTTATTATTCCTTCCTCTGCACAAGAAAGAGAGGCACAGGGACATGGAGGCTGTTACATGTCCCCCACTATTGGGAGTGTACTGGATAAAACACAGATTGGTGAATTCAGAAGGCCCAGGGCAAAAAAAAATTAATTTCAGGAGCCACAGGTAAGGATATGTGCACAACCTTTGGGACATCCTGCTGGACTTGAGAAAGGAGTTTCCTGTCTTTTTTGCAGGGCTGCAAGCCTCATTGCCAAACCCAGAGGAACCTGCGTAAGAAATCAGCCAAGCTTAAATACTTATTGCTATACTGAGAAACAACGTTCTTTTGTATAAAATAATAAGCTATTAAGTGTCCTCCCCTCTTCTGAGCATGTAGTGCTTTGTAAGGTGCATGCAATAAATATATCATAAGTTACAATACCTCAGGTGATCAGAGGCTATTCAAACAATAATAAATTCAGCTGAAAAATTAAAGAAAATTCATGACTGATGATTGAAGGTGCGGTTCTAGGAAAAATTAAATTAACTTCTGATTTGACAGAGCATTATCATCACCACTATGTTACAACTTTAACTCATTTTGTTAAAAGAAGTAGTGAACTTTTCTAAAGTCTCTTTGAAGGACTTGATCAAGTAAGCTCCCAGTTCGTTGTTCGTCTCCTGAACAGCTGCATCATAACTCCCAAAGAGTGGTGTTGAAGCCTTCACATCCTCCCTATTTGCTTGGAGTAAAATGAGGTTAAGATCCTCTGCTACACTTTCATATTTTTGGTGATCAAATCTGCAAACACTGGCATCATCAATGGGGTAGGTGATGCCAATAGGGTAGCAGTCCCTTGGAACTGGAAACTCCACATTTTTCAGCATTGGCAATTCACAGAGAAATGTGAAAAGGTGTTTAAGTGCTTGGGATGACAGTGGGTTTCCCACAAACTTAAACTCATGTAATTTCTGGCAAGGGCTTAAACCTAAAATCAACATGTTGACATGAGTATCTTGGATGTTACAGTCCTCCAGGGTAAGACTCCTGAGCACTGAAGAGGAATGGCTGAGCAGCTTAAAGAATGTTGATGGGTAAAGTTCAGGTATATCATGACCACTCAAGTCCAGGGCTTCTAAGTGATTAGCATGGAAGCTATTGGCTAAATAGGCCATATCAGCATGGTTCAGTGAGCAGTTAGAAACATCCAGCATCTTCAGTGGAGTTTTTAGTGGGCTGCAGAATTAAAGGGAAAACAGTTTTATTGCATAAAACATTGTAAAGCTACATTTACAAAATTACATGCAACTATACATATTATGAGTGTAGCCATCTACCACATTCATTATTTTTTCTTACCTCTCTTGAGAAACAGAAGCATGTGCCAAAAATAACAAGTATATTTTCCTTCTGGACTCAGTTCCGTGACTTAGCTTCTTCTTTATGTGACTGTTGTGCTATTTTAATGAGGATTAAACTTTCTACGTATCTATTTTGTAACCAGTTTTATGTTGTCAAGTGTCTATGACTTGCTGAATTAATAGCAGATCATTACTACCATAAAGGCATTGGTGGCTGCTTCTTGTAGAAAACTGTCTTAATTCCAGAGATTTAGATAATTTCCATGAAGGAAGGACTAATTCCAAGATGAAAGCCAATCAGTATTGTAACAAAACATCTGCTTTTGTTTCTGGGGGGGACAGGGTTTGCTGTTTTTAAATGCCTGAAAGGTTTACACTTTGTAGCATTCTGCAGTTGCAGAAAGATCTTCTGATAAAGAAGGTTGGAAGAAGTATAAGTGAGATTATTCTCAGATATTTTAGTTGAATATAAAATAGTTCTGATAAATGAAAATCAAGAGATCCCTTTCATACATACTAAGTCTTAGTGAGACTTCTGTTACAGAGCTCAGCTGGATCAAAGTTAGAAACTTGCAATTTATTTCTGTTGATATAAGCAGTATGCCACTCATAAATTTTAAATAAAATTACTCCTTGTATGGGAGAAATTTTAGACTAAGGTGATTTGTCTGGATGAAACTTTTGTCTGCCTTTTTTATTAGATGCTCTGAAAAGCATGCAGTTAATTGTATTTTCTGTTCCAGTATGAACACTGCTCACTGGCAGTTTGTTATCTTTTTGAGAATTGCCAGTTTTTCACAGGATTTCATAATGAATATTTATGTATCAGCTTAATTTGCAGTACAGAAGAGCATCAGATCTCTCTTGCCTTGACATCAAAGGACACGACAAACAACTGAAATCAAAGTCTCAAATCAAAGTCTACTATTCCCCTGCCCACCTAAAAATACAATATCTGTGGAATCCTAGTATATTTACTGTGTCTTTCTTAGAGGACAAAAATTCACTAGAGACTCTAAAAAATATTTGGTATATGACTCAGGTCTTGCACCAAAGCCAATGCAAGCTGCTTAATACATAAGCTAATATAAAAATTGTCTGAGTACCACTCTTTTATGTGGTAGGCAAAAGCATATTCTCACCAGATAGGTTCTGGAAGACTAATAAAACAGTCTGTTCTTTGAAGTGCATTAGGTATATATTGGCTGCCAATTCTCCCCAACAAATAACCTTTCCTGCTTCCTGCTGCCCCTTCCCACACACCCTCCGAGATACACTCACTCCCCTTATTCCCAGAGATTCGCAGCTTGCTGGTGGCACAAAGTGCTGTTCTTTACAGTCTGACTGAAAGCAGGATGACCAAATTACCTGAGCAGTTTCTGTATTCTTCCTGTGAGTATAGAAAATGACATACACAGCTCAGTGAGCTGTGTCATTTCACCCATCTTTTCTCCAATATTAGTAAGCATCTGTTCATCTGTAGCTGTGAACCTCTGCACATTAAATGTTCGTGCTGGCAAGGTCAAGGACATCAATAGAGGGAAGTGAATACTGTTGAAGAGTATTTCCAAGTGTTCCATTTCCAAGCGAACATTGTGAACTATTTCCAGTTTGCGCAACAAAGAGGGATCAGCGAGTTTTATGATGTAGAAGAATTTCTGCAAGGTCAGGTTGTCAGATCTGAATGCTACACAGCAGATCTTCAGTGGACAACAGCATTTCTTCAACAGGGCCTCCACGACCAGCTCATAGTTCCTCTCTGTAACAAACAAGTCAATTAGCACATCAATACTGATTTCAAATGTACCTGGATTGCACTGTGCTTGTTGCAGGTAAACCACCAATTCTAAACAAAGCTTGGAGAGCAGCTGTGTCCTGGCCCACCTGCCCATTGTCTTCTTGCACTCACAAAACTGAACTTCAACATCTTTTATACCTGTCAGGTCAACCACTTTCAACCTTTTCCTGTAGGGAGAAAAATTATTCAGCACATAGTCTCTAAGCCCTGTTAGACAGCTTTCCAAGCACACTGAGCATGTTCTATGGCTCAAGTCTTCCTGGTAGTCCACAGTAGCTCCCAAAAGTTTTCCCATGTTAAAGTCAACAAGTGGCCAGTTCTCTACCAAGTCATGAATCACTTTCCCTTGCTCCAGTAGATAGCTGGCTTTAAAAAGAAGAGGAAAAAGATTATGGGCAACAGCGCTGAGACTCTTCCTGGCAAACTCTTCATTTGACACGAATGCTTCGGCGCTAAGGAATCGGAGAGACTTCATTGTTGCTCTGGACTCCTTACTGTCATGGAGAATGACTTCTATATTTAACTAAAGATTCTAGTTGCTTATCACCTTCTATTTTTGTCTGCAGCTGTTGTTTGCTGCTAGCAGAAGCCTTGCTGGAAAGGCAGAGTGGACAGTCACATGCTGTTCCTCTGCTTTCTATTTTGGAGCTGTATCGTGACACTGCAGTACCTAATTGTGAGATCATTAGTCAGAGAGCTCTTAAACCCCCATGTTTATAACAAAGCTAACTCAACTAAATAGAGACCACTATCCAGCAGGAACAATAAAATCAAGGCAGCACACATACATGAGAGAAAAGCACTCAGGCTTCCACTTAAAAATATGACATGATCTGTATTCCACTTTCTTACACAAAAGATGCTATGCTCCAATGCTGATTTCAATGGGGAAGATTTCCCAGAGTTAGCACAGAGCTTCTCCATAAGGAAGGATTGAGGCACTACAGCCACTGAGCTACAACCGTGTCCCTCCATTTTGCCCTTTGCCAGGAGAAAAACCTCTGTCACCCAGCTATCGCAGAAGCAGAGAGCATATTTCTTTCTTTCAACTTGGCACTTCCTTCCAGGAGAAGCAACGAGGGATACCTCCCTTACAGTATCTTCTCATGTCTTTTGCTGGGCAAACAGAGGGATGGAGACCTTTTTTCAAGCTGTGCTGACCCTGATTTTCCAGATAATTCCACACCTGTTTTGCTGTGAAAAATTCATGCCACACTTCAAAGATTCTTGTTTTTTTTCTTTTTAAGTAAACTCATTATGGAATATTTTATCAAAAGGAAAAGAAAAACCATAAAACATCTTTATTAGACTGTGTCATGCTGAAGAAGCTTCTTATTTTTGCAGACTTTTGGTTTGTATCATTTTAATTTTGCCTTCAAATAGATGAGTTGCAAAAAACAAGTAAGATGAAATAGATAGAACTTGTCAAGGTATTAAGTATTTTCTTCTGTTTTTTGACTCCAGTGCATATATATCAAATGATGATGATATGATGTAGGTATTACAATATTTTGGCAACATATAATGGCAACATATAACTGATCCCTATATGACAAAAAAAATGTACAAATTGCTTGAAACTTTTGTAAGAATAGTTTTATGGCCTCTAAAATGTAATGGGCTAGTCACTAAAGCATATACACAACTTTTTATATGCTTATCTAGTACATTTGAACCTCATTATCTGCTTGCCTACTATATTTGTACTGGTGGTCCAAAAGATCCAAGACAAACTACTCCACTATTGTTGTATTTTATTTGAATACAGGAATAGGAATTCTGCCTGGTTGTGTAGAGATAGGGTCAAAAAGGCCCAGGCATGACTGGGACTGAAGTTGGCAAGGGAGAGAATAAGAAGGGCTTCTAAATTTATGTCAGCCAGAAAAAGGAGGTCAAAGAAAGTATACTCCTCTGACAACACAACTGGCAAACTGGTAATAACAAACTAGGAAAAGGCTGAGGTACTTAAAAATTGGTTTGTCTCAGTCTTCACTGACAATCTTTCTTCCCACACCTCTCAAGGCAGGGAGTAGGGGAGCAAAGTCCCTCCCACTCTAAGAGAAGATTGGGTACGTGACCACCTGAGGAACCTGAATGTACGTTAAGTCTGGCACCTGACAAGATGCATCCCAGAGTTCTGAGGGAATTGGCTGATGTAGTTGCCAAGCCTCTATTCATGAAATTTGAAAATTCATGCCAGTCAGGTGAATGGTGACTGGAAATGGGAAATTATTGCACCCATTTTTACTCACGTCAGACTTACCTCTGTGCCTGGGAAGGAGAACAGGGAGGTGATTTGAGGTAACCAGCACAGCTTCACCAAGGGCAAATTATGGCTGACCAACCTAGTGGTCTTCTGTGATGGAGCAACTCCATCAGTGGACAAGGGAAGGGCTACGGCTGTCATCTCTCAGGACTTCCGTAAGGCCCCACACACACACAAAATCCATCCCTCTAAACTGGAGAAAGATAGATTTGATGGGTGAGCTATTTGATGGATAAGGAATTGGCTGGATAGCTGTGTCCAGAAAACATTGGTCAACAGCTCAGTGTCTGAATGGAGATCAGTAACAATTGATGTCCCCAAGGGGCAAGTACTATTTAAAGTCTTCCTCAGTGACATGGTGGCAACCAGTGCACCCTCAGCAAATATGCAGATGACACCAAGCTGAGCGGTGCAGTTGACACGTGCAAGGGATGGGATTCCATCCAGAGGATATGCTTAGAAGTGGGCCCATGGGAACCTCATGAGGTTAAACAAGGCCAGGTGTGAGGTGGTGCCCCAGGACTGGGGCAACTCGCTGTATCAATACAGGCTGGGGGATGAGAGGATCTAGAGCAGCCTTGCAGAGAGGGACTTACTTGGGAGTACTAGTGTGGATGAGCCAGCACTGTGCACTCACAGCCCAGAAAGCCAGCCGTATCCTGGGCTGCATCAAAAGCAGCATGCCCAGCAAGTCGAGGGAGATGATTCTCTCCCTGTAGTCTGCTCTAGTGAGACCCCACCTGGGGTACTACATCTAGCTCTGGGGTCCCCAGCACAGGAAGGACATCAACCTGTTGGAGTGGGTCCAGAGGAGGGCCATGCAAATGATGAGAGGGCTTGGAGAACCTCTTCTCTGAAAAAAGGCTGACAGAGCTGAGGTTGTTCAGCATGGAGAAGAGAAGGCTCTGGGGAGACCTTGTGACCTTTCAGTACTTAAAGGAGGCCTAGAAGAAGGATGAGGAAAGGTTTTTTAGTACGACATGTAGCAATAGGACAAGATGTAACATTTGTGAACTAAAAGAGGGTAAGATTTAGTCTAGATGTAAGGAAGACATTTTTTGCAATGAGGATGGTGAAACACTGGAACAGATTGCCCAGAGAGGTGGTAGATGATCCATCCCTGGAAACATTCAAGGTCAGGTTGGACAGGGCTCTGAACAACCTGGTCTAGTTGAAGATGTCCCTGTCAATTGCAGGGAATTTGGACACTAGATGGGACTAGATAGGGCTTAAAGGTCGCTTCCAAATCAAACTATTCTGTGATTCTATGAAACACTACTTAAAATTGTTTCATTTCAAATATTATTTGGTTTGGGAGCAAAAATTTATATTTTGGGTGAGGATATTTTCCAGTTTAAGTCTTTTAAGGCTTTACAAGTACTTCGAGCATGTGATCAATAAATTTTTCTGTCTGTGAAAGAAAATTCCGTATATTTCCTTTCTCAGCAAGCTACTGTCTTTGCACAAAACCAGGTTGTGTTTGTAGACCACCCTAAGTGTAATATAACCCATAGTGGTACTTGCTGATCAGCATGATCAGAAAGGTGGATACGGGTCATGACTAATTTCCTGGATACTACAGCAGTGGAACAGCATATTATGACACTATCTATAGGTAACTTAGAGATGACAGAGGTTCCTAATGAGCATGGGAAGCAGGAGAGTTAACAGAGCAGTGGTGGAGGTTCTATTTGCCCCAGACTAATACCCATGTGGCCAACTCAACCTTCCATACACTCAGAGAGTCTAGCAACCTTCCATAACTTGAACAATCTGATCCAGTCCAAAAAGGCATTAAGTCAGTTCATTTGCACATTTTCTGTTTGATTATCAAATTGGTACAAACAGCATTGTCTAAAATTCAGTACTTGGAATATCTGTCAGTACATATTTAATACACATGAATCACAAAACACAGGTAAAAATGCATTGCTCTGCTTTATGTCAGAGAATGGGTTTAATCTGTGATGCTACATCATTTCATATACTTATAAGCAGCTCCCAAAGTGAGCTGCTTCATGAAAGTGACAGTGGTCTGAGAAATACTGAACATTCAAGTGAAATAAGAAAACAACTTGCAAGCAGGAGGTACACACAAGCTTTCCACCAGATTACCCTTATAAGAAGTGCTACAGAGGTGATTCAACCTCAAAAAGCTGTCTAATATTGTTAAAGCATGCAAGACAGATTTAGGAAATTTACCCGTGTCCCAATATAATTGGCTATTTTAAAATTGATATGGCAACAAGCAGAGTTTTCTTTTTCATCATTCTAGTACTTAAGAGAAAAAAACTGTTACTCCTTTATATCTGTCAGTCAAACTACTGCTGAGAGATCTAATACATGAGAAGTTTTGTTCTGATGAAAAAGGAAAACCTTTTTAAAACCAATCTTACTATTAGTGGGAATGACGTAAGCACATTAATGCATTAAAAAAACTCACAAGAGTGGGGGGGTTAGAATTAATATAACATTTTCTTTGCTCATGGAGTGGTTAGAAAAAGCCTTTCTAAGCATACCTTTCATCTTAACCTCAGTATTGATGTACTTGTGTCATACACAGATTGTAAATAGTGCCTCAGAACAGAAATTTTCTTAATGAGAAAATTTTCACAAAAGTGCAGCTTTGACAAAGTATAAGCAGAGATGTAGCAACATGTCAGCCATGAAGTAGAAGCATTTGAAAGTAACACATTAACATCATTATGTAGAAAAGTTGAAGTCAAACTCAGCACTGACATGACTCCACCCCTGCCAGATAGCTGTGAGCTAACAGAGACAATACTGTAACACCACCTTGGTTTCCCAGCAGGCTGGCTAGTAAGGTTAATGCGGGTTGATGCTGATGACTGGGTGAAAAAGGATAAAGTAAAGCAATCTCTGGGTATGGGTTGTGTAGAGAAATGCTTCAAGGTACGCTGGCTTTGGATCCATGCTGGCCAGCAACTTAAACTTGGTCTAATCCAAAATAAAGAGCCCTAGTCCTTTTTCTGCCATATATATGAAACAGATTTACATATGTTCCTAATAAAAAACAAATACCAGCTGGGAATAGTATTGTCATTCTATCTGCATATTTGACTAATAAAGAGAATCTAGTTAAGCACTGTGCCTTCATATCTGCTTCTATCCCCTTATAAAATACTATTACTTTTATTAACACTAATATTTCCTTCTACTTCATTGAGTGAATTTTCAGACCTCTGCTG